CAGGAGGGGGCGGGGTTTGGGGAGGGGGAGGGGCCTCAGCAGGGGACCCTGCCCTAGAGCGATGCTCCCTCTAAGCCACTGGCCCCCAAAGTTGGGGGGCATGGGGACAGCCCAGGTGGGGCGGTAGGAGCCTTGGGTGCAAATCTTGTCACTGCTTCTTTGTGTGTCCACTTTTTGAAGGTAGATTCCTTGGAGGTGGGGGGGTGCTGAGCAATGCTCCCTCTAAGCTGTGGAGTCTTGTGAACAAAAATCCTGCTTTGTGAGCTCCTGGCATTTGGTTGGGGGAGGGGGAGGGGCCTCAGCAGGGGACCCTGCCCTAGAGCGATGCTCCCTCTAAGCCACTGCCCCGCAAAGTTGGGGACTGACAGCAATTTGGCTGCTGCATTAAATCAGTGTGCTCAGGAGCCCTCCTTCCTGAGCGGAGGCAAAAGCATGTGAAGGTAAAGGTTCCCTTGCTCGAAAGCCAGTCGAATCCGACTCGTGTGAGCCGGAGGCTAAAAAACTGTGAGCTGGCTCACACTGACTCAGCTTAGAGGGAACACTGGGGCTGAGTAATTTTTCTCTCTCCTGAAAAGGGTGGGCGGTAGGCCCAATAAGTTTGGGAACCTCTGCCTGAGTCTAAGCTGTGGAGTCCCGTGAGCGGGAATTCTGCTTTGCCAGCTACAGGGCGTGAAAATTGTGAGCGGGCGATTGGGCTGCTGCCTAAATCTATTTGGCTCTGGAGCCGCATCCTCCAGGAGCTGAGACCGAAATGTGTGAGCTGGAGGCTAGAAAGCCTTGCGCTAGCTCACACTGACTCGGCTTGGAGGGGACACTGGAGCCCACCCTTCGAAGCAGCCATTGCCTCGGGGGGGGGCATTGATCTCTGTCAGCTGGAGACCAGTTGTCAAAGCGGAAGATCCCCAGGCCCCGCCTGGAGGCTGGCAACCCTTCCTGCACATCGCAATACCTGGCCCTGGTTGGGGACCGAGAGGCTGTTGATCAGCGGTCTTGCTCTGGAGCAGAGTTGTGTGTGTGAACATCATTGGCAGCTTCTGCTTCCTGTCTCCCCGTGTGAGCAAAGAGGTGGAGGTTTGGTTTTCCCCCGACAGGCATGGTTGGTGCCCTCCTCGGAAGTCCCCCAGCCGGGCTGGGAGGAGCCCTTGAGCTGCACGTTGGCTGTGCCAGGCTACATTGCCAGCCAAAGGAGTCCTGCCTGTAGCGCCCAGCCTGCAACCACGGCCCAGGCTCAGGTTCAGAGAGAGAGATGGGCAGAGGCCGTTTCTGCTTAAGTGTGTGGACTCTAATCTGGGAGAACCGGATTCAATTCCCCACTCCTCCACTTGCACCTGGCTGGATGACCTTGGGCAAGCCGTAGTTCTGATAAGAGCTGTTCTGGACAAAGAGCCGTTTCTGTCAAGAGCTCTCTCAGCCCCACATACCTCACAGGCAATGTTCCCTCTAAGCTGTGGAGTCTAGTGGGCAAAAATTCTACTTTGTGAGTTACTGGGCATTAAAGTTGTGAGCAAGCAATTTGGCTACTGCATAAATTAGTTTGCTCTGGAGCCATCCTTCCTGAAACTAAGACAAAAATGTGTGAGCTGGCGGCTAAAAAACTGTGAGCTAGCTCACACTAACTCAGCTTACAGGGTGCCTGTTGTGGGGAGGGGAAGGGAAAGGAGTTTGTAAGCCTCTCTGAGACACCTTTGAGTAGTGAAGGGCGGGGTATAAATCCAATCTCTTCTTCTTTAGCTTCAGATGGGGGGGGGGTGTTTGCAGCTAGCTTGCCCTCTAAGCTGTGGAGTTCTGTGAGCAAAAGTTCTACTTTGGGAGCCACTGTAATTAAAGTTGTGACTGAGCGCTTCGGCTCGTGCATAGATTAGTGTGCACTGGAGCCATCCTTCCTGGGCTAAGACAAAAATGTGTAAGCCCGTGGCTAAAAAACTGTGAGCTAGCTCACACTAACTCAGCTTAGAGGGAACACTGCTCCAGAGCCATATTTCCTGGGCTAAGACAAAAATGTGTGAGCCCAAGGCTAAAAAACTGCAAGCTGGCTCACACTAACTCAGCTTAGAGGGAACGCTGGCTGCAGCCCTTCCACAGCCATAGGACAAGGGCAGAAGCCCATACGCAGAAGAAAGATCCACGTCTCTCTGCATGTCAGCTCTTGGTAGAGTCCCCAATCTGTGCCGGAAAATAGGTAGCAATCTCAGGGCACCTGGATGTGTTAGAATTTCCTTGCATTAAGGTTGTGAGTGAGCGATTTGGCCACTGCACCAATTAGTTTGCTCTCGAGCGAAGAAACAGTTTTTGTGAGCTGGAGGCTAAAAATCTGTGAGCTAGCTGACACCGGTTGGGTCCCCAGTTGAGTCCCCGGTGGCATCTCCAGTTTAAAAGGCCCAGGCAGGAGGCGACGATGTGGAAGACCTCGGCCTGAGACCCTAGAGATCTGCGGCCGGTCTTAGATAATCCTTTGAGGGACCCAGGGCCTGATTCAGTAGAAGGCGGCTCCGTGTGTTTAAACGGTCCCTTCGTGAGTATTGGTCTTTGCCGTTTGCACATCCCTGACGGTGACAGAGGACGTCCAGATGGGGACGGTGCAGGCAAAGCGGGGATTCCGTTGGCATCGGTCTGTTCGGCACGTTATTGTTTGTCAGCTTAGCCTCGTTGTTGTTGTTGTTGTTCAGTCGCACAGTCAAGTCGGACTCTTTGCGACCCCATGGACCAGATCACGCCAGGCCTTCTGGTCTTCCGCCGTCCTCTGAAGTTGGCTCAATTTCATGTTCGTTGCATCTATGACACTGTCTAACCATCTCATTCTTTGCCGTCCCCTTCTTCTTTGACCTTCAATCTTTCCCAGCATCAGGGTCTTCTCCAGGGAGTGCTCCCTTCTCATTGGGTGGCCAAAGTATTTGAGCTTCAGTTTCATTATCTGGCCTTCCAGGGAACAGTCAGGGTTGCTTTCTTTTAGGATTGACTGATTGGATCTCCTTGCAGTCCAAGGGACTCTCAAGAGTCTTCTCCAGCACCATAGTTCAAAAGAATCTTGAGCCTAGCGGTGGCTTTCCAAGACACAGGGAGGTCTGTCCCCACCAGTGCTCCCTCTAAGCTGCGGAGTCTTGTGAGCAAAAATCCTACTTTGTGAGCTACTTGGGCTTAAAGTCGTGAGCGAGCGATTGGGCTGCTGCATCGATCAGTTTGCCCTTCCTGAGCCAAGGCAAAAATGTCTGAGCTGGAGGCTAATAAACTGTGAGCTAGCTCACGCTAGCTCAGCTTCGAGGGAACACAGGTCCCGATCCTGTGGAGGTGGAGCAGGAAGTGACCCCAGAGCA